CCCGGCCCCAGCATCATGTGGGAATCCAGCTTCAGCTGCATGCTGCTCCAGATGGGACAGACCCGCCTGGGTCAGCACCAGCCAGTAGAGGCGGCGGGGGAGCTGTGTGCCACTCGGGACTGACCAGTGCAGGTAGGGGAAAGTGAAGCTGAGCCCCTGCTGCTCTGGCTGGGCTCATCTTGTCCTGAGTGGCACATGGCTACTCCTCTTCCCACACACCGTGTTGGCAAGGTCAAGCTGATGCGGTGCATGTGGGAACCTTGTCCCTTCCCCAGCTCTTCAGCAGCCATTAGGAAGCTGCTGAGGGGCTGGGGGAGGGACAAGGGGGGGGGGCGGAAGGAAACAATTCCTGTTGCAGCACCATGGGCCACAGAAAATGGCTTGGCGGGCCGCATGTTGGACAAGCCTGAGGTAGAGATATCCCACTTCTATCTGAAAATGAAAGTGACCCCTACAGACCTTGCATTTTGCAAAAAATAAATAAATATTGATTTCTAAGGCAAATTGGTTTGGGGTCCAATGATAAACTGCAAATTAAGCTGCCATCTGAAATGAATGGTAAAATATTCACAAAGTTAAATCTCAAAATGACTAGCAATCAAACCTGCTTAAGTCATGTCATTATAAAAATTTGGTTTTCTGAGTTTTTCTGTTCATCCAATTAGAATTGCTATCATGATGCTTAGTTTCTATACAGATGAGAACAGTATCAAAACATAGAGAAATAGACACAACTTTCAGCAATGGTGCAAACAGAAAAGTATCCTTGCCAGAGAATTGAGAGGCAAAGTGCTTTGATGTAATTGAGACCAGGATTGGTGAGATAGGAACTTGTTTTCTATGAAAACTTTAGATCAATGTATTCATACATGTAGCTTAGCAGATGACAAATTGCTCAAGCTGAGGGCCTACTAAAGTCACTGGGAGCCTTTCCATGGACTTCAGCAGACTTTAGATTGGGTGAGATTTTGTAGTAAAACTGTATAATCAAAAACCACAAGTTTGAACACTTTATTGACATCACTTTATTATTGTTATAACACCACACACTTAGGACACCACTTTATTATTATTTACTAATTTATATTTTATCGCAACAGTGTCTAGAAGACAGGGACATTATAATAGATATTTTAATCATAAGAGAGATGGAAAGCATACAACATAACTGCAAAGCTATAGAAAAACAAGTGGATAAATGGACAGGATCAGGCAACACAAACAGGCAATGAAAAATAGAAGCAGCGTGCATCAGCTGGCTAGTCATAAGCTATTTTTTGTAGGCGTCACTGCGGTGAAAAATTCCAGGTAAGGGATGACAATGAAGTACTTTCGAAAACATTTGGAGGAAGCTCTTTGGGATGAGCAGGGATCCTGGTTTTCTCTGACAAAAAAAATGCCTCCAGTTTTCAGATTTAAAAAAGTAACCCAAAATCCACATTTTTCCATGATCAAAATGAAACACCACTGTGTGTGTGTGTGTGTGTGTGTGTGTGTGTGTGTGTGTGTGTTAGTGGTGTTTCATTTTGATCATAGAAAAATGTAGATTTTGAGTTACTTCTTTAAATCTGAAAACTGGAGATTTTTTTTGTCAGAGAAAACCAGGATCCCTGGAGATGAGGTTCACAAACCCCACATGAGAACAGGGAGACAGGACCTTAAGGGGATGCAAGATGATGCCCCTTTAAGGTGCAGACAGAAGAGCAGCTCCCTGTTGCACCTCATGGCACTTTGCAGGAAGCACCATGAGTTACAGTGATCCCCCAGACCCAACAGAAGTTTGTTGTTGCATCCTGGGGGATGGGGAATCCTGCTGCTGTTTAGAGTGGCTTTGAATCTCCTGCCACTCTCCCTGTAGCAATGCCGCTCTCCCCTCCCAGCCCACGTGTTGTTTCCAGAATGGGAGGGGGAAAAAGGAGCAGAGAGAGCTTGTTTTAGGCATTTCTCCATCAGCACAGGAGGGTGGGGAGCATGGATTGGAGCCCTCCACCTTGGGGGTTATCCAATCCACCCACTCCACCCTCTAGTGCTGGCTGAAAAAACCCGGACCAAACTTCCTCATGGGATCATACCCTTTTAGAGCACTCTGCAGCCAGAATGTGAATGTGCCCTTGCTGCCAAACAAAACATTGAGCTGGAATTTGGTGGAAAAGGATGGGCCTGAATTTCCCTACCTCAATTCAGTATAGTCATGAGATAGTCCCTAAATTACAAGACCTCTTTCCCATTCCTCCCAAGCATGAAGTGGGACTAACAAGTTCTGTTATGTAAAGGATTAGTTCCTGATCCTTCAATACATGTTATGTTTCCAGAGCTACTCTGAAATAAGTTGAGTTCTGAGTGGGTATAAAGTCCACCTTGTTGGAGGTCATTTTAAAGTTTATGACTTTTATTTCTATAACTGCAATAAACATATAACTTTTTTTATGTGGCCCGAGTCATGTGACATGGGCAAAGTTACAAAAGATATCTGTTGCCTACTGGAGGGCAACACCCACTGAGTAGTAACTGTGGGCACCTATACCTGAGTGCACAGGCTGCTCTGAGATGCTGGAACTCTGACAAGCTGGAATTAATCATGTTCTAGCAGCCTCCTACATCTTGTGTACCAGCATCCCCACACTTGAAAATGGTGGTGGGGATGCTTGAACTAAAGCTCATTGGATGGCATGAGCTTTAGTTCAAGCATCCCTAAATTATAGCAGCTAGGAGGAAGAGGTAGAGATATCCCACATCTTCCTGAAAATGAAGGTGACCTCTACAGACCCCTTGGGGTCACCTTGAACTAAAACTCACTAAAGTGCTTGAACTAAAGCTTATTCAACGAGCTTTAGTTCAAGCATCCCCACCACCATTTTCAAGTATGGGGATGCTGATACACAAGACAGGGCAGTGCTTTAATTAGAGTGGCTTTCGGAGCTGCTCTAATTAAAGTGCCAGCCCTGGAGCACGTGGAAAAGTGTCCTATTATTACAGACTTGGGGTGCTTCTACTTTCCTATTACTGAAAGATGTAAATCACTTTTTCATAAAGACCTTTTATGGTAGTGGCAGTATGTAAAAGCAATCCTTTATGAAAGAAAAGGGAATCAAACAAGTCAGCTGGCATTTGTACTATGAGACATGGTTAAATGAGGTATTTTCTCCTGCTAGCTGTAGGGCATTGTTAAGAATTAGCTGTGTTTAATTTAAATACCTCCTGTTAGTTTACACTGGAGCTGTATCCCTTGACTCATTAAGTAGAATTTGATGAAATAGAAATCTAGTTTAGGGGAATTATTTTTCTTTAAATTAATTTATTTGTGATTTCATTCTCTAGAGATCCAAAGGGTATTTCCCAGCATAAAGTAGGTTGGATTTTTACCCAGCTCTAGAATAAAGACATTTTGCCAGCTGTTGCATATGTATGACTAGAGATTTAAGTCACAATAGCCGTCCCAGAAAGTTTGTGGTATCCCCTCTGCCTACAGTCTCCTCAGGAGAGTGTGGGTTTATTTGAATTCATTCAATTTATTTTGAGGAATGTATTTTGTGTACATAGAAGAAATGTTTGGTCATTTTTCTATTCATGTTCTCACAAATAAAGGAGATGGTGATGTGAGTGTGAGCTATTTATTAGCAGTTCATGGTAAGGTTTTTGAATAAGGAAAGTTAGGATGTATTCTGAGACAATATTAAGCGACCACCTCTTTTCATAATATTTGCATAGTGTGCCATCAAGTGAGACTTAAATACACAACAGTTGTATTAATTTACATTTGACGTAATATTTCTCACAGCCTTATAATCTTATTTATGATTGATGCCCTACTGTCTTGCTTAAGTCTTTTACTGTACCTGTTTAACTGTCCTTGGCATTAACCAAGGTTGTCCAAGATGCTACAGTTATTCCTATGAAGTCAATTTAAAGCTAAATTTGATGCTACAGCATTATTAGTTCTTGAGCATGAACTGCCTCACAAAGATGTCAACTAGTCACAAGTGCATGCAAATCAAATTGTATATACACTGGGAATGCATGAATGCAGTAGGCACAAAAACACACTTGCCTAATTTAAGAAACTAAGGCTACATAAAAAATAATACCTTTAAGGCATGCCTACAACGGAGAGGAGCAGAAGCCTAGTTTACTTTGTGTTGTAAGTCATTACCTGTACACGGAGACAGTTGATTGCAGTCACCCCTACACATCCCGTTGAATACTGCGCTGTAAATCTATGATTCTCAACCAGGTGCAACAGTACTCAGGGGTGCCTTGAGATCCTTTTAAGATGCCATGCAATTCTAGGTATGCAAACACTTATATACAATTCAAAATAAATCCAGACATTTTAAATAGGAATCCATAGCATCAAAAAGATTCTGACCAGCTATGATCTTTCTGAATTCTTTACAACAGAACTATTGTTCTGTTATTTTTCTGTAGTCAAGAAGTGAGTGAAAATTAAGAGCTGGCATTTTTCAAGGGATGCCGTCAGTCTAACAAGGAATACCTTGAGTCTAAAAACACTGAGAACCACACTGATTTCATGTGGAATTTTTTTGCTTTTAGCACCCAAAATTGTGAGAGGGGATCCTATGTTTTTTTGTCTCATTTCTGTACCCATGCATGGTATTGTAAGATACATAGTGGAAACCAGTTAGATAACTGCAATTCTGAAACCTGGGGTCAAATTCACAAGGTCCCACAATTCATTTCTAGTTACACTCTCTCATTTTTTTTAGGTTATCAAGACCCATTTTCAAATTGCCAGTATGAATGAAACAGTGCATCAGCTAGAAAGGATGCAAGAGCTTTGGACAACAGGATACTTGATGGGCTTTAAGGTATTCAAACTTTTCACCGCATTACCAAAGATGTTTTTACAGCAATTCTGGCAGTGGCAGCAGCACTGCCAACTCACCTGCAGGTGCACCAGTAGGATCAGGAAACAAACTAACTGAATCTGGAGGAAATTTTTTTGGAACAGCTTCTCTGAAAGCAATCCTGTTTCTTGACAGGTGAGAAAAGATTGTACTACAGAGCTGGGATGGTGAGCAGCAGCTGCAAACTTTGAAGATGACAAGGAACACCTTTCTGTTGTTACCAAATCTGCCCATTACTTTGGGGTGTGCTCATTTATTAGGGATAGTTTCTAGGGTCTTGGTGATTCTGTCAATGTGCTGCTTGTGTTACTATACGGAGCTGTATTTCTCCCTTCTGCAAGCCCTGACCCCCAGTGGAGCTATCTTGCAGGACTCAATCTCAATGGGCTGGGTTCCTCCAGTCACCAAATCAGTCATACACACAAACACACACAAATTAACGTGACACGCCTGACCTGGCCGGGCTGATCAGCATGGACAGGCTGACACCCTCATATGCCAAGAATCAGTTCATAAGAGCAACAAATAAATGCAGTCAGACACAAGCACACAGGTGAACAGAATCCCTCTGAATCCGGCTGGGTGTCCAGCTGACACCCTCATGGGCCAGCATTCAGTTCATAAGGGCACGTCTGAGTCAAACTGGGTCAATCAGCCTATACAAGCTGATCCCCTTATGTGTTTCAAACTCAGCACGTCCCAATCTTTGGCCTCTTGATGAGCAGACCCCACAATAATTTGGGCTTCACAGGGATCTTTAGCATAGGTAAAAGAAGCGTTGCTGCAGAGCACGGGAGGAAAGAGAAGCAGAGAAGGAAAAATATACCCAATTACTACCAGTTTGACTATAAAAGTTATTTATTGCTAAGCATATGAAATATATAATAGTACTAGTAGTAATAAACATACAGAAGAAAAACAAACACCAACAATGACAGTACTACCCTGGTTTCACTAAGTATTTGGGGAAACTTAGCTCAAGCTTAACTGATACAGTTCAGGTTCAGAAGTTTATGCCTAGAAAGAAGACAGAGAACGCTGGGATCTCACCTAGTCCACGGTACTCAGGCTGCAAAGCTGACAGGCACAGTCCGTAGCACAATCCTTGAAGAGAGAGATGATCTGTTCTTCCAGCGTCCCAAGAACGACAGGGGATGGTGTCAGCACAGGGGTTTTCTTCTTCTCCTTCTTTCCTCCTGCTTCTACTTCTTTTCCTTCCTTTTCCTCTTCCTCTTCTCCCTCTAGCAGCACACACACTTACAGATTTTTATACCCTCAGTTTAGCTGCTTCGAAGCACCCTCAGTAGTGTAAATCATTGTCTTTTCTATTGACAAGGGGTTATCTGGTTTGGACCATCTCAGGAAACTGATTGATAATCAGGAAACACTTAAGATTAGGGAGTAACCCAAATACTTGGGAGCCAGCTTGAGATTCCTATGGGTGGCAGATATACTGATGGGATATCTCATGGTTTCTTCAGGAACAATAGATAGCTTGCAGCATCAGGATTTTGGATTTTTACTTGTTGTGCACAAGCCTCAGCTTAGCATGACTTTTCCAGATCTTACTATAGTCTTTTAACAGACTTAAGACAATTATTGGGGTGCTCATAACCTTTTGTGGAGAGGACTCCCACCAGTCGTCTCGGGAAAGATATGACAACACCTGGGATTAGGGCTCCAGCAGGCTGGATGCTGTGATGAACCCTTAACCATTGTTCAAATGTTGCCCATACCCCCTCTGACTCGGTCTCTTGCCTCAGCATTCCCTAACCCGGCAACCGAGTTTTAGTCAATCAAGTTTAAATAGGCCTCCCATAGTGGGACCGGGGAATGTACGGCCCGAGATGCCTATTAAACTTAGAGCTGTGTGTGTGTGTCTGGGGGGGAAAAGTCCTTAGCAAATCCAGATTAGAACTGGTCTGATAAATGCTGAGCTGGGTGTGTGTGAACATGGGTTGATTAACATTGGAAGCACAGATTCCCCATCATGCAGCGCTCTCCTGCTTCTCTGGTCCCAGAATTCACTGCAGTCTCTGCTTCAGGCTTTCTGTTTTCCATCTCTCATGTAAATGAGACCTAGGGCAGTTGATTCACTCGTCACCCTTATCTGGTGAGGGTCTTAGGTGCGTCTCTCACTGCATCTTAATCAGTTTCGTTTAGGTAGAGGAGGGGAGGGGGGTGAGTCCTTTGTGAGTCAGACAGACTGCATCCTGTACCAGGGTTCCCCAAGAATACAGAGCTGAGACGTAACAATTCCCCCCGTTGATGGGGTGCTTGCGTTGAGCTAGTATCCCCATCACATTCTTGCTCCATGGTACTGGTTCTGGCCTTCTATCCATTGCAATCGTCGCATCAGTCTCTGGATCCAGCAAACTAGTAGCATCAGACTAATTACTAGTATAATTTGAAAACTAATGATTACTACAATGGGGTGAAGCATGACATTTAAAAGACCTGTTGCATTGGGGCTCCACCCAAACAAAACCTCCCACCAGGAGTGATGGCCTGCGTTTTTAACTGTAGCTGCTAGCTTAGAGATTTCCTGATTGTGGTGTTGAATCTCGAGTTTGCCATTCTCTCCCAAAGCTTTGAGTCTTTGCAGTTCAGCTCGTAAGGAGGGATGAGTTAATAGTTCCTTAATGGTGATGAGACCCATTCCTAGTAAAATGGGGGACACCTCTTTGTAGAGCTCAGGGTAGGCATTCAAATGTTGTATGGTCCATATAGGTACAGTAAACTTAAGATCACAAGTAACAATAGTGGTTACATTACAGAAACAGCGATTAATATAAGGCACCATAGGTTGAATCCAATATCCATTAATTAATACAATATCACATCTTGTTCTCATGCACACACATGCTTTACCCACATAAACAATAGCAGATTCCCTTTCTTGGATAACATCGAAGGAACAGTGAGACTTGTTTCCAGGTTGTGGAAAAAAACATTCATCATGCTCCTCCAATGCTTGGTCTTCACAGATGTAACCTAAACCTTCTTTTCTTCTGCACCCTTTTACATTTACTGTTTTCCATGCACTATCTTTCTGCCAGGCCCAAGTGTTATGATCCCTGGAGTACATTACTGAGCTATCATCAATTTGTAATCCCAGTGGGACTACTGGGTGGATTGTTCTAATTTCCTTGCCTGCCACAGTTATAAGGAATAACTGCAAGCTTTGCTGGTGGTGATTATATGAAGCATTAACTAATCTCCACCAGGGCTGGAGGGCTAATTCTTCCTCCGTTACATGGGGCCGAATTAGGTTGATTGCTTCCATGGGAATTTGTCCCATCATGGCTTGCCGAATCATTCCCATGATAACATTTTGGGTGAGAGCCTGAGCTTGCTCACACGCTAAAGCCAATGATACATTATTTTGGAAGGACTGTACACCAGACATCATTAACTTTTCATCCCCTTCTATGAGTTTTTCCCACCCAGGAAATACCTTACTTATTAACTGCTGTTCTTCGCTTAACATCTTTAAAGATGCAGTTAATGGAGTTCCCATTTTCCCCATATTTTCAGTGGCATATGACAGTTTATTAGCAAGAACTTCTATATTTGCAGCATCAATTAAGGAGACTCCTGCTCCTACCAGTGCAATTTAATAACTTATGATACAGGTTCCACTTGAGTCCATGATGGCTTACAGAACTGGTAGCGACGCTGTAGGGCCAGGGGGTTGCTTCCACTTTCATAGAATCCATGCATGTGGCACAGGCATTTTATTTCCTGGGCTCCAAATGGCAAACAGTTTCAGAGTTTCAGAGGCATCGCAGGTTCAGAATAGAGTCTGGACATCAGACTCCAGAGACCTATGCACAGCAATGCTTTGGTGCAGCTATGGAATGTCATCATTCGTGTTTGGAGACCTGTGAGGGGACAGAAAAGAGAAAAACAAACTCCCACACTCCCCCCGTATATACTGGGAGAAGCTGTGATCAACATTGCAGGGGAAAAGTGGAACATTAATCTACAAGAGGGTGGCCATAACAAGTTGAGCACTTCTCTGGC